GGCAGGAGACTCGCTTGAGCCCAGGAGTTGGAGGTTGCTGAGAGTGTGATGCCATGGCACTCTACCCAGGGGGATAGCTTGAGGCTCTCTCTCTCAAAAAAAAAAAAAAAAAAAGAGTAAAATTCAGTTTTGGAAGAAACTGCCAAACTCTCTTCCAAAATGGCCGTACCATTTTGTATTCCCATCAGCAGTCGTGGGAGTTCCTGTTGCTCTACCTCATTAGCAGTGTTTGGTGTCATCAGTATTTTGGATTTTGGTGGTCTATGTGTTTTCGAAACAGCTTTTTCATTTTATTCTGAATTTTTGGTATTAACATTAGTTTGCAATGTGACTGCATGGAATGTGATACATATAAAAAATTTCCTATGTTCTATGTCAAGAAACAAATATTTTAGAGGATAAAACTTAATATAGGTGAAGATTTAGGTTCTCATTGATGTTTATGTAAAGAAATATTATAAATTACATATGTAGTTTGTCTTTTATACTTAGCCTATTTATGGACAATCAAATTTAAGTGTGCATTAGAATTAAGTGTGCATTAGAACTGATTTTGTTGTATATAAATGTTTTTTTCTTCTTAAAAGTTGTGGGTTTATTTCTAGTCATTTTTATTGTGATTGGTTTTCTCTTAAAAAAGCAAGTTAATGAAATTTATGACTAATCCATTTGTTTATTGGAGACTAGCAAAACTTGAAATGTGGTAAAAAGAATTGCATTCAGTTTATTAACTCTGTTTATACTTTAAAAATGTTTTCACGGGAGCAGAGCATAAGCTATAAGTGTTACAAGTTATTGAAAATTCAACCATACTAATTTTTATTTTGAACTTTGTAATCCAGAAATAAAAGCTGCTGCCTGGCTAAAACTTCTTCATTTGTTGCATGAGGAAGTCAGGGTACAGTCATGGAAAGCTTAGTCATGGAATATTAGAACTAGCAGAGCTTTTAAGCACAATCCAGATCACTTTGCTCATTTTTTGGATGAGCTGTGAAAATCCTGAAATTGAAAATTGAAAACAACAAAAATACATAAATGTGATTGTTTTCCTAAATGGACCCTTACCTATTTATTATAATCTGAGTGTTTATGTCATGGGCTATAAATTTGATACAGCGTTTGCTTTTTACTTTTTCCTGGTTTATTTTCAGTGTTATTCATCTGACAATATTTTTCTGGATAGATAACTTTAAATTGCAGTTCTGAAGAATTATATCTTTCTCAAATGGAATTTGAACGGTATTTTTTAGTAGATTATTTTTTTATTTTTTATTTTTATTTTTGGAGACAGAGCCTCAAGCTGTCACCCTAGGTAGAGTGCTGTAGCATCACAGCTCACAGCAACCTCCAACTCCTAAGCTTAAGTGATTGTCTTGCCTCAGCCTCCCAAGTAGCTGGGACTACAGGTGCTTGCCACAACACCCAGCTATTTTTTGGTTGTGGTTGTCATTGTTGTTTGGCAAGCCTGGGCTGGATTCAAACTGCCAGCTCTGGTGTACGTGGCTGATGCCCTAGCCTCTTGAGCTATAGGTGCCGAGCCTAGTAGATTATTTTAGTGAGATTTTGTTTTTTAAGGACTCAGACCTTGACTATCTAGTTTGTAGAATTTCTAATGTGAGGATAGCAGAGCTAATTGGTTAATCAGACTGTATTTGTGTTTCTTTGTTTATACTTTTAAAGTAAATTTTAATGACCATTTGGAAAGTTACTCTGCCAGGGATTAATTTGTATTAGATATTGGGAAAGTAGATTTTTATTTTTAAAGGACAGTTCACTATGTTGCCCTTGGTAGAGTATTGTGAGTCACAGCTGACAGCAACCTCTAACTCTAGCCTCAGCCTCCCAAGTAGCTGGAACTACCGGCGCCTGCCACAATGCCTGGCTATTTTTTGTTGCACTTGTCATTGTTGGTTAGCTTGCCTAATGCTGAGTTAGAACCCGCCAACTTCAGTGTACATGGCTGGTGCCATAACAACTGTACTATGGCTGCCGAGCCAGAAAGTGGATTTTTAGATTTAAACCTTTAAAAGATGCATATCTATAATACTTTACATCTAACTTTCAAAATATAATTTTTTAAAAAAACTTGCAGTAGTAGTATGCAGAATTTTCATAGATCCTTTGCCTAGTTTCTCTTCATGGTAACAACTTGTACGACCATGTTACATTTATTTAAAAAACGAATAAGTTATGTTGACTAGGTATGAACTTTACTCAAATTTCACCAGAGTTTCCACTAATATTCTTTTTCTGTTCTTTTTCTGAAGAGTACTGTTGTACTGTTGGTGTTTTGTTTTTTGGCAGCATATCTCTTATCTTGGGTTTGTTTGATGTTTTCTCATGATGAAATTGAGGTTATACATTTTGGGGAAGAATGCCATAGAAGTAGTGTTTGACCTTTCTCATTGCATTGTATCAGGGAGTATTTGATGTTGATACACCTTATGCAGATACCAGTCTTGATCATTCGGTTAAGGTGGTGTCATCTGGGTTTTCTCTACTATAAATAAAGTTAGTATTTTTCCATTTGTAATTAATGAGTATTATGGGGGAACTACTTTGAGACTCTGTAAATAATCTTGTTTCTCCTCAAATTGTCAGCCACTGATTTCAGTATCTCTCAGCATGTCTTGAGTCTACCCATTATATTACAGTGTTTGTCTAATTAATGTTCACTACTTATACGTTCCTTAGTTGGAATTACTATGTTAAGAAGAGTTGTCCTCTTTCCTCTGGATGCATTAATTTCTTCATTGAAATAGAGCCTAATAATAAAATTCTTTCATTGCTGAAATTGTTCTGGCCTTGGCCATTTGGAGATCTTTTAGTGGGCTGCTGTAATATTTTTTGATAGTCTCTTGCACCGCTTCTTTTTTTTTTTTTTTAAGGACATCTTCCTTGCTTTTAAGTACCACAAAAATGTCATGGCTTATCTTGTATATTCTGTCTCTCTTCCCTGTTTTTAAGGAAAAACACCAGCTATTTTTAAAAGAATGAAACCAGGTATCAGGTGAAGTAGGTATCATAATAATGAGACTGAAAATTTCAAAACATTAAAGAATATAAGCATAGTAATTACAGGTTTGGGGTGGGTATTAATAAAATGAATACATTCATCTTTGTATATTCATTTCCCAAATGAATGATTCCTTTTGTAAGTAATTTTGGGAGAAATCGGAATTTTTTTCATATGTGTACACACAAACATATAAATATATATCTCTCTTCTCTCTGTGTGTATCTGTCTACATCTGCCCTTGGTATTCTTGAGGTCTGATACATAAAGCATGTACATAATGAATAGTAATGTAAAGTATGCTGTGGAGGTATTTGGTTTTTTATTTTATTTTTTTAATTTAATTTATTTATTTACTTATTGCAGTTTTTGGCCAGGGCTGGGTTTGAACCTGCCACCTCTGGCATATAGGGCCTGCACCCTACTCCTTTGAGCCACAGGCGCTGCCTGTATTTGGTTTTTTAATGTAAAAAATTCTCAATGAGCTTTGGAGAAGAGGCAAGGATTAATTTTGAGTTAAAGTACAGCAAAATTTAGAAGAGAGGGTAATAGTAGAAATGAAGAAGGATGGGAACAAATATCGAACACATTACTTTGTCAGATGATATAAATGTATTATCTGTAGATATTTGGGAACTCTGAGATGGCCTTATTTATTTATTTTAACAGATAAAAACCTGTGGCTCAGGGAGGTTAAATAAATAGTGATAGTGGTACCTGGAAATATGAATAGATGTTTGGTTCTAAAGCTTATTTTTATTGTACTGCACCAGTGGACCTCTTCTCCTTTTCTTCTGTCTTACATAATTCACAAGTGCAGCATATTCCTTTAGTTAGTATTTCTTATTTACATGTAATGAATATTAAATTGGAGAGGTATCTTTTTCTTTTTTTTTTTTTTTTGGAGACAGAGTGTTACTTTGTTGCCCTGAGAAGAATCATAGCTCATAGCTATCTCAAACTTGGGTTCAAGCGATTCTCTTCCCTCAGCCTCCCAAGTACCTGGGACTACAGGTGCCCCCCCCCCAAAAAAAAACGCCTGGCTATTTTTAGAGTCAGGGTCTTGCTCTTACTGAGCCCCTGAGCTCAGGCAGTCCATCCGCCTTAGCCTTCCAGAGTGCTGGGATTATAGGCGTGAGCCACTGCGCCTGGCTCTGGAGAGCTATCTTTATTTTTTTCTTTTTTCTTTTTTTTTTTTTTTTTG